AAGTCTAGCATTTCAGATTCAAGGGTGTGACCGAAGACGGACGAGAAACCATCAAATCAGTGGCTCAATACTTCGCGGAGAAGTATGCTGTAAGTAGCCTTCAAGACTAAACGCCTTACATGAAGCACTTTCTTTACAGGAACTACGCTTCCCTAAACTCCCATGCCTCCATGTCGGCCCTCCCACTCGCAACATCTTTTTCCCACTTGAAGTCTGCGAGATGGACACACCACAAAAGTACAACAAGAAACTTAGTGAAAAACAAACAAGTTCGATAATTCGAGTGAGTTTAGGGCCTAAAATCCACACTCCCAACACAGCATCGAAATCTTTTCATTCAGGCAGCAGCAGTAGATGCCTCCCAACGTGAGGAACGTATCGCTCAGCTTTGCCAACAAGCCGGCTTTGATCGCGATCCATTCCTCAAAGAATTTGGACTTTCTGTCTCACCCAGAATGTTCGAAACTATGGCTAGGGTCATTCAACCCCCGCAAATCATGTTTGGAGATAACTCTAAGATGGTGGTAAGTTAAATTCACCAGTAATATACACAGAACTTTCTTCCATGCTTTTCAGGATCCTATCGTACATCCAAAGGATGGCGCATGGTCTATGGATAATCAGACATTGTATCTTCCTGCCACATGTGGAAGTTATTCGATGATCGCTTTGGTAAATCCAAGAGATCAGAACTTGCTCCAAGGTTTTTGCCAAGCCCTCTATGCCAAGGTACAGTATTCCTCATAACTTTCACTATCCGCCAACATCAAGTCTGGGCTTTCAATATTTCAGGCTACACAAATGGGCATGGACTTCCCAAAATGGCCAGATTTGGTCAAGTATGGTCGTGGACGTGACGATGTTGTCGTTTTGTTCAATGAGATAGCTAATGAGTACAAGCAGACTAGCACAAGCTGCGATTTGGTGATCGTAGTCTTACCCGGGAAGAATTCTGACGTCTACAGTAAGCTTTAGAATTGAAATGACGCGAATACGTTCAAAAGCTATCACAAAAGAATGAGGCTTGTCATTTGCAAACTGACCAATCACAGGCAGACAGATAAGATTTCAAATTAAGAGAAAGAACTTTTAGTGACTGTCAAAGAGAGTTCGGACATGATTCACGGAATTATGTCTCAGTGCGTTCTGATGAAAAACGTTCAACGCCCATCACCGGCTACCTGCTCAAATATTATCCTCAAAGTAAAGAACATCCTCTCCCCCTTCAACACGAACTTTGACTTGATTGCATACAGGTCAACATGAAGCTTGGTGGTATCAATAGCCGCATTGTTGCCGACAACATTACCCATAAATACATCATTGATCAACCTACTTTGGTGGTAGGAATCGATGTTACGCATCCAACACAAGCCGAGGAGCGCATGAATATCCCATCGGTGGCAGCGGTACGGACATTTTGGGACATTTATCGCACAAAAAAAAA